CTGCCTGCTGCAGGCAGGGGTGCTGGGAAAGGGGGTAGCATGGGGTGCTCTTTTGCATGTCCATCCCAAAATGCACTTCCAGGCCCTTTTCTAGCAAGATGGGGACCTGCAGAGCAGGAGCCTCCAGCTCTCTAATCAGGATTTTTTATGTGATCATTGCAGTAAGAAGTTGCTAGACGAAGCCCTGCCTGATGCTGCCTGTCTGCCATGTCAGAGAAACCCCACGGGGTCACAGCCGGGAACACCAGTGAACAGCCGTGGTGGGGATGCTCCTGCAGCTCGTCCAGGGCATGGCTGTCCTGGCCACGTCCCGTGGGCACTATTGAGCCTGGCTCCCTCCCAGCGCGCTCCTACTCTGCGTACCTGGATGTAGTCCTGAACCTGCTGGTGCCTCTGCTTTGCAGTGGAGAGCTCGGCATCAGAGAAGGCCTCCCTGAGGCTCTGCTGAGAGAGGAGCGACTCCAGCTCCAGGAGGGCGGACACCTGGCAGTACTGGGTGATGAACTCCCGGTCGTAGGTGAAGAAATGGACTGGGAAGGGAAGGAAAAGTATCAGGTCCCTTGCTGTGGGTGCCCTACAGGCTCCTCCGCACCCATCCAACGCAGGGAGGAGATAACACTCTAGTCCACCGGGAGAGCCCTCAGCATCCCCCTCCATCCCTCCTCTCCTGGGGGAGGTAAGGGAGCTCCAGCCCACCTCACTGCCCGTCCCAGCTCTTGGGAGGTCTCAGAGGACAAGGAGACCAGCAAGGTTGGGTTTTGGCATTCTCTCTCCTCACCTAGCTCGAAGATCTGCAGCGGCAGCGTGAGGAAGCCAGAGCGAGGGGTGTAGGGGTTGTTCTGACCCGGAGCAGTACAGACATCGTCTGACGGAGGCAGCAGCAGCAGGAAGGAGACCTGGCCCCCAAAGTCCAGCACCTCTTGGCTGTACAGACGGAAATCTTTGGCCTGCAAGAAGATACTGCAGGTAACAGCCGCAAACATCACCTGGCGGGCCCTCCACTGAGTCCTCATCCGCAGAGGAATCCTCAGGGACCACCCGCAGCCAGGGGACACTGCTGTTTCAGCACACAGCCAGAGGCTCCTTGCTTCTGGCATAATCTGTGCACCCTTCTTTCTCTCTTACTTCTCCTAAAAGCCTCTAAGCTACTGGTCAAAGTCACTACAACAGGGTCTCAGAGAGGACGTGCCACCAGCCATGGTCTCAGCCCTGCTCAGAGAGGTGGCCTCACAGCTGCCCAGCCAGAAGCACATGCCTGGCACTGGGGCTGCTGGACACCTTCCCAGCAAATACTCAGCATGGTGGAGGAGGGATTTCTCCCTGTGCAGTCTGGCCCAGGAGGCTGCAGCTCCATCCCATGGCTGGCCAGGGACCATCCCGCTTTGGAGGGACAGAGCTGGGCCAGTCTCGTGCTGCAAGGGCTGAGCCCAGGACCAAACCACATGGCAGGCAATAGTGCAAACCCAGACTCACCACCCTTGCTTTGGAGATATATGTGAGGGTAAGACAAACAGCTCCTGTGGACACTGTCCCTGGGCAGGCAGATGCTTCAGGTGCTGGTTGTCCAACAGACAAGGCAATAGAAGGCAATAGATGCCTTCTATTTGCACGGGACTAAAATCTGATCGATGCTTCAGGCCCCCAAAGAGGGACCAGGGGCTGCGGTACCCTGCCTGCTGCGGTGACCAGCATGGTGCTGCACGGCTCCTTCCCCTCCCTCCTCCCCAGACCTCGGCACCTGCCTGTACCTCTTGCAATGGGATGTTGACCAGGGTCATCAGCTCCTTGATGGCCACTTGGAGCTCCTGAAACAAGTGGTTCTGGGAGGTCTCAGCCTCTGGCTCCGCAGGAATGGGCTCCTCCACGCTGGCCATCTTCTGCAGCCATTCCCACTCCTCCCTGGAGAAGGGAGAGACAGACAGGTGCAGGAGGGAGCAGCTCGGGGTGGACCTGAACGCTACGAGAGCTGTGTTTGCTCGGCTGTTCCTCCCCAGGGGAGGTCTCAGCCTCTGGCTCCGCAGGAATGGGCTCCTCCACGCTGGCCATCTTCTGCAGCCATTCCCACTCCTCCCTGGAGAAGGGAGAGACAGACAGGTGCAGGAGGGAGCAGCTCGGGGTGGACCTGAACGCTACGAGAGCTGTGTTTGCTCGGCTGTTCCTCCCCAGACGGTGCAGCACCCCAAGGGATGCGGGACTTGTGGAGGTAGAGGGGGACCTTGGTTTGCTCCAGCTCCAGGCTGCCCTGCATGGCAGGCCGTGGGGCTGAGAGGGAATATTACGCTGCTACCAGGAGCCTGAGAGCAGAAGCAGGAGGTGATGGGTGCTCTCAGGCTGGATGGGACAGAGGAGCCTGGCTGCCCTGGGTGAGCTGTCCTGCAAGCCCCACCTGGAGATGTTGGGGTTGGAGCGAATCTTGACGTGGCACAGGATGT